ATTAAATAGATATTATAGTGTTTGTTACATTCATATCTTTTTTTCACTGTTATAAAACTGCGAAAAAGTGAAAAGCAGACTATAAAATTGTTTACATATGAATGTTTAGAAACGTGCAAGCAAATGAGAAAAAAGAAACGACGCTTATTATTCAATATAATTTGCATGTAAATCTTTTTTGCGTGGAGTTTGATTTTGTGTATGTACATATATATATAAATATCGATTTTATCATTGTGAACATAAATATGTATGTACATAAGTATCGATTTTACCATTGTGAACATAAATATCAGTGTATATTCTTACGATTCTACTGGCAGTAAGTTAAATAAAAAGGTGTTAACAATGCAAAAACGAATGAGAGAGCTGAAATAAAAATAAAAACAATTTAAATACTTCTCCGATAAGATTCTAAGACTTGTCCGAAAGAGGAAATATATCACGGAATCTATGACTAAGAAATATGGATTTTTGCAGAAGCGCCGACTAGGCCTGGCTGCGAAATTCGTGCTTCGTTATCGGTAGAAAAATATGCGTAAGCTTTGTATAGAATTATAAAATAACTAAATTAACATGATGAAAACTATTTTTTTTTTTTGTCATTTTACTTGTGGACTCCATTATGTATATATTTCATTGATTATATTATCAACGAGAAACGGGAAGATAAAATGAATGTCTATTTGTAAACAAATTAGAATGTTGCAAAGTGATGCCATCCGACTTGATAATACACTATTGCAGTCGAAATAAATATTAAATATTCTAAGTCGATATTTACAATTTATTGGATAGTACGGCAGAAAATATTTGTAATTTTACGACATACATAATAATATTCCCGATATAAAAATATTAGTAATATTCGTAGTAAACTTGCAATCCTATAGTTACTTATAGTTGTTTTTTCGATGTGCTATTCTATAATTTTTATACTCATTCACGAAAGTGAATCAGTATATTGGTTTTGTGCAATGTCCGTCTTGCTGTCCGTCCGTCTGTCCGTATGAACGCAATCTATTTCGGCGCTATTGAAGCTAGAGACTTGAAATTTGGAACACATACTCGTGTATATCTCCGATTTATAAAGTGTTAAAATTTTCCCGATCCGCCCACTAGGGGCGTGGCAAATCGGAAAATGCATTTTCCGATATACCAGAAATCATGTTTGTTGAAGAGCTAGAAAGCTGAAATTTGGTATGTAGGTCCTCGTTGGCCACCCAAGATCACGAGCTATGGCGGATATATCTACGCCCATTGGGGGCGTGGCAAATCGGATAAAACTGTATCTCCTAAAGTTGTAAACCTAGAATGCTGAAATTTTGCAAGTCAGCTTATGGTATGATTCTATAAAGTCTGAAGATAAATTACAAGTCTACGCCCATTGGGGGCGTGGCAAATCGGACCTGAAGATATAGTGATTTTTTAAATTCTCCTATATTTTGGACACTATTGATGGCAGAGACCTCAAATTTTGTATATATACTCGGACTGATCACCCAAGACCAAAAAGTTTCGTCGGATATATGTCCGCCCACAGGGGGCGTGGCAAACCGCAAAAGTTTATATCTCCTAAAGTATAATAGCTAGAAGCTTCAAATTTGGATAGTTGAGTTACTGGTAGCCTCCTCTATCGATTCCCCAAAAATAATTTTTACGCCTCTTTAGGGGCGTGGCATATCGAAAAATACCCTGTAATTTTCACATTTTTTGAGGGTAAGCATTCAAACTTTGCAGTTAGGGTACCGTTATCTCTTTCTAAAAACTGACCAAAAATGAAGTGTCTACGCCCAGTTGGGGCGTGGCAAATCGGAAAAACCTGTATATTCTACAGTATTAGAGCGAAACTTAACTACTAAATTGTTGATGGGATGTGAATGAGTATTCCGCAGTCGGTAACGCCCGACTGCAACGTTCTTACTTGTTGTAATTGTTACATGTAAAACTGTAGAGATGAATATGTATATACTTTATAGTATATTTACATATTAAGTTTAGGGAGTCTGTATAACTTGAGATGGTTTATAATCAATATACTCTTTCACTTTGTGAACGTGTCACTGTAGTAGTAACTTTATTCCTAGGGTTCTTGCTAGATAAAAAGGTTGTTCCCATCTACTACCTACCTACTTATCGATCTATTATTGAAAGTGAAATATTAAATAAAAGAAAAAATTGTATTTTGTGTAACATTGTGTTTTTCATTGTCAGTTAGAGAATTATGGAAAGCAAATGTATTGCTTATGCATAAACATGCATTGCGAAATATGTAGGGCATTAAACAGCCGTTGAGCTGTCATGATTCCAAATACCATATATGTACATTCATATGCCTTATAGTTATTGCGTTAAGTTCTAGACACTTAACTTGATTATTAAGTTTACGGATGTCGTCTTGTATATAATTTGTGAAACTGTCGAGGCAATATTATAATGATAATTAGTTTTCAATACACTCTAACTACGAATGTCGGCTTACACAGATTAAGCCGATGAACTGTGAGAGCTAACTTAGCATATGAAGAAAAGAAAAAAAAACGAAACGAATTTTGCAGGGTTGAAGTGTTAAGGTTCCTGGCTATTTTAGAGAAATTACATAATTAATTCTTAGTTTTCAATGTCTATAATTCCAATCCTTATAATATTTACTTGCTATCCAAATATGAGAATACTAAGGACGATAATGAGATAGTAAGATACTATAACACTTACAAATAAAATTTTACCGATTTAGAAATTTTTTCAAATAGCTTATTATTATTAATGTTATTATTTTTTTTTATATTATTAAAATATATTTTTATTTTATTTCAGGTCGAAATGGTCAGTAATTGTATTTAACACTAATATTAATATAACGTATTAACTATGGCCGCTCATCATTATACCGTGGAAGTGGGCGATACCAATTTTACAATTCTTAGTCGGTATATTAAATTAAGGCCTATTGGATCTGGTGCTCAAGGCATTGTGTGGTAAGTGAAAAGAGAAAAATTAATAATAGTCGAGGCACCGAATGTTGAAGTATCCTTCTAGAATATAAAGGAACATTTTAAATTTGATTTATATACAAGAATACTATGATAATTCCATTCATAATATTTGCCTATGCATAATATTTGTTTATCGTTTGAATTACTTCACAAAGACAAATTTTAACACATTTACAGTGCTGCCTATGACACGGTTACCGAGCAAAATGTCGCAATAAAGAAACTGTCTCGCCCATTCCAAAATGTGACACACGCTAAGCGAGCTTACAGAGAGTTTAAGCTAATGAAGTTAGTGAACCATAAAAATGTAAGTGTTGTTTTACAATTGAAAATGAAATGTATTAACATATGTATGCATTTGTATAGATAATTGGTTTGCTCAATGCGTTCACTCCCCAACGCAATTTGGAGGAGTTTCAGGATGTTTATCTTGTGATGGAGCTAATGGATGCTAATTTATGTCAGGTTATTCAAATGGATTTGGACCATGACAGAATGTCCTACTTGCTATACCAAATGCTCTGTGGAATTAAGCATTTGCATTCCGCTGGAATTATACATAGAGTTAAGTATTGTTTAGTGTGTTCGTTCTTTTGTTTCAAATAATAGATAGATGAATATTATATTGTCAACTATCAAAATTCTTAAACCAAACATTTTATGTTTTTACAGGATTTAAAACCTTCCAATATAGTTGTTAAGGCCGACTGTACTCTAAAGATATTGGACTTTGGGCTTGCACGCACAGCTGGAACTACATTTATGATGACTCCATATGTCGTAACTAGATATTATAGAGCCCCAGAAGTCATTTTAGGTATGGGATATACCGAAAATGTAGATATTTGGTCAGTGGGATGCATTATGGGTGAGATGATTAGAGGTGGAGTACTTTTCCCTGGAACTGATCACATTGATCAGTGGAATAAAATAATTGGTAAACAAGAAGAGACAACCAATTAAGAACTTGTTCAATATATGACTATTTAAATTTGTAAATTACAGAGCAATTGGGCACACCGTCCCCATCATTTATGCAGCGTCTGCAGCCAACTGTTCGCAATTACGTTGAGAATCGTCCAAGATATACTGGATATGCGTTTGATAGGCTTTTTCCTGATGGTCTGTTTCCTAACGATAATAGTCAAAATAGTCGAAGAAAGGCTTCTGAGGCAAGGGATTTACTTAGCAAGATGCTAGTAATTGACCCTGAACAGAGAATATCAGTGGATAGAGCTTTACAGCATGAATACATTAATGTATGGTACGACGCCGAAGAAGTTGATGCTGTAAGTATTTGATATACTAAATTTAAAAAAATCTAAATTATAATATATTAAATAATTTTATATACTATACAGAATTCATAAAAGAAACTATATTCTTAATTATATAAAAGTGACATTTTACATAATATATATCTACTTAGATATCTGAAAATTAAAAACTTGAAGTTTAGTGTTTAGTACCCCTCCGGAATAGAGATGAAAAGTTAATGTGCATTAACGTCCTCCCGTATAAACTTATCAAACTTTTTTTTTTAATCTAAGATAAAACTTTAAATTATAAACATAACCAGTTATTAGTTGCCCATACAAATGAATATAGAATTATTTTATTTTAATTGCAAAGGTATTATATCATTGGAACTTTTGGCATGATAGCCTCATCTGGTTCCTGTTTTCTCTTAAAACCGGTTGTAGTATTAAGAAATTTATAGTATAATAACAGCATATATTTAATACATTTTATATTTGTTTCCTTTTAAATAGCCTGCTCCAGAGCCATATGATCATAGCGTCGATGAACGAGAGCATACTGTTGAGCAGTGGAAGGAGCTCATCTATGAAGAAGTCATGGATTATGAGGCGCACAATGTTAACCGATAGAGCATAAATAATTTGTTAATAAGACAGTTATTTAGCTTTACGCCTATCAACAATACAAACACTTTATTAATATTTATAATAATCACAACAACAACAAGAAATAAAAATCATACTGTTTAATGTGCAAATTGCTTTTATCGTTTTATTAAAAAACTCTAAATATGTTAAATTATGCATGCGATACAGTCTAAAAGTAAGAAAATTATCTCAATTGACCTTTAACCTACTCTAAGATATACCACCCATGTGAGCAACAAAGTTTGATAACAAATATAACAACTTCACTTGATGAATCACTTTGACAATGAATAAATTAATCATATTTGGCGTAAGTTCGTAATATTATTAGTCAATCAATGAAATACAAAGTTATAAGACATTTTTCATTTTACTTGCTAAACAGATTCGTCTTCAGTTATAAGCCCAAGAAGAGAAGCGGATGTTTCTTCACTTATCCAAATTAGTCCAATAAACAGTGCTTCACATATTCCAATCAATGCACCAGCACTAACGTCCAGAATAAAATGTCTTTTTAATATTAGTCTAGAGATCACAACGCTAACGGCCCACGCAGTCATCGGCATCCAAAATACGACTGGCAACGTATGCAATTTGGTAAAGAAGATTAGAATATAGAAAGCTCTGGATGCGTGTCCCGACGGAAAGCTGAACTTGTCCGGACCAATGACTAGTGCATCCTTGACAACTGCGGGTCGTCGTCTACGTACGAGTGCTTTTAGTACAGCCACAACAACTATATCTAATAGTAATCCAAGCAACATATTAACTTGCATTTGGTATAGGTTCTTAGAATTTATTAGCCATATGAAGGCGACCCATGTGCAAAGCCAGGCTATTCCATCACAAGATATTTCAAGAAATTTGCAGTGTATCTTAAGAGACTTAAAAGTTGCAAATTGCAGTAAATAGGACACAAAGCGGTCTGTTAACTTAACATCCAGGTCCGTAAGCACCTTAATGGCAGGCGAATTTTTTAACTGAAATGTAAACAAAGGAAAGCAGTAATGGTCATATTAATTGTGTGCTCTGATAATAAAAGTAATTAAATTCGTATACATATTCAAATTAAATTATTATAAAAATTATTAATTAAATTATTAATATTATTATTTAATTATATTAAATTTACACATTTATTATATATTTGAAATATACCGTTTCCATTTTCCCTGCTTCGGAATTACTATCTAAAATAATTTAGTTTTATAGGGATGAACTAGATTTACCCATCTCATTAATTGTACGAGTACTTTGAAGTATTTTTAAATATCAACCAGTTCGATTTATTTTCACAAATGGGAAAAGCAAACTTGCTTAAAGTTTTACTTTTTTAATAACTTATAGAAACCCATCGAAAAAGTAAAATTGTAACTAGCAAATTGTTTGAATTTCCTGAAATGACCGTAAATGAAATATTCGCGATACATCGAAATCGCTAGCAACAGAAATATATCGCAACAATAACATTCTTAGAGACATCGCACGTTTCATTCCATTTATCGTAAATTCTATGCTACATTGTGCAAATCATGTGTTCAACAACATAAGTATATTGAACAGTAAATTTATAAGGTTTTGTTTATAGTTTATGTAGAGCTCTGGTTTACATAAGAATTCTGGAAGGATGAACACGTTAAAGTTGATCAGAAATAATTGGAAGAAAAGCCTTTTTCTGTCATGTGTAGTAGGATATGGAGTATCCACCATAAAAACCAAATTAGAGTAAGTGAATAATTATCTGGATGTTTATATAAATTACATACATATATGGATGTCTTTTCAGCATTAAACTTTATATGAACAAATTATCAAATGAAGTATTGCATAGTAATCAAACAACAAATGTCCTTCCAAAAAATGTGCTTGTGATTATGAATCCAATTGCCAAGAAGAAAAAGGCCGAAAATTTGGTAAGGTTTAATACACAAAAAGTGAATGAAATGCATTTTAGTTAGTGAATTTGTTTTCAGTTCAAAAAATACTGTGAACCTCTATTGCATTTAGCTGGATTTTCTGTTGAAATACTGCGAACGAACCACATCGGTCATGCCAAAACATATGTTGAGGAAATGAGTGCCCTACCAGATGTTATTGTTGTAGCCGGCGGAGATGGTACAAAGTCTGAGGTGGTTACCGGACTGCTGCGTCGTCAGGGCGAGATATGTCCCATTTCCCTCCTTCCGCTAGGACGGGAAAAAGCATCTGGCTTCAAAATCTTTAACTTTGGGAGCGAACTGGAATTTGTGAAGACGTTATGTCAGGCTCTGTTGCCCCTACTAAATAACCAATACAAATATGTCGATGTCATTCAATATGATGTACTCGATGAGGAGAACAACAATGAGAACGACAGCCCCAGCAACAATTTAAAGCCAATTTTTGGCATAAATGGTTTCTCGTGGGGCCTTTTGAAAGATATTGACACCCTGAAGGATAAATATTGGTATGTGGGTCCGCTGAGACATCATCTGGCTGCATTTTTCCGATCATTTTCTGGAACTGCCAATTGGGACTCGAAGACAGATTATGTTTATACACCGCCCTGCCCTGGCTGTAGCAATTGTTGTCCCGAAGTTGAAGATAAGCCCACAAAGGGATTCTTTTTGAGCAAACTTGTGAAAACACAAAATGTGAGCCGAGCCGCAACGCAAAAACTTATTAAGAACGATAGTTGCGCTACAAAACTTAGTGGTTGCATTAACTCAAATCAAATTAATATTAATCTTAGTCACAACGAGGAGAATTTTTCGGAATTGGAAAGTAAATTTATTGATTCCCTGCAGCCCGGATGGGATCTCATAAAAAATATACCCAAAATTACGAATAAAACTGTGGAACCTAATTTGGTACTCAAGAGTAGAACTATCAAACTGTATCCCTCAGTGAGTGATGAGCCAATCTTCTACTCCATAGACGGAGAGGAATACGAGCCCCGACCCATTCAAGTGTCAATTGTGCCTAATGCTATTAAAGTTTTCTGTTAAACTAAATACAATGTTTATTTTAATGACCATAAATATTTTAATTTATCTTAATATAACATAACGCATTCACAGCAAAAATTAACAGCGATTTCTTCCCAAATCCAGAGTTGCGTATAATCGTTGATGTATTCATCCGAAGTTATGAGAATTAATTTATCGCTTATATGAATACATGAGCCCGGCTTACGACGCAGCACTTTGATGGTGAATGATTTGGGTTTGCATTTAAAGTGTCCATACCAACATTTTTTTGCAATGCATTCAATGGATCGAATGTAGCGCGGAAAGTAGTTTAAGCCCAGATCGATCCAGTTTATTATTGAGGAGCATTCCCAAGGCCGGGTTTTGAAAACTTCAGGTTTTCCATGACCCTTCTGGTCCATGAAGACATTTCTTATGCTTATGGTTTTTCTCTTCAATGAGTCCTCCTCGTTTTTAGCAAAATAAGAGAAATGATTTGTCTCCCAAGCGGGGAAACTGCCTAATGAAACGACATTATCATCAGCATAGAATGGTACATCCAAAACGGATCTCTTCGATCCTGAATTTTGGTTATTTTCGTTGCTTCCGCTTTTCGGTGGATCAATGCTCATATATCGTGGATTGAAGGCTTGGCCCAAAATCATGCTCAATGACTTTTTTGATAGCTCCGTACAATAATCCTGCTGCACTGTGCATAATAAGCCTACAGTGCAGCATAGTTCGCAAATCCAAAACAAACTAAAATTCTTATTGGATACAAACACTCCATTCATTCTGACTCTCACTAGTTACGTACATCTAAAATAAATAGAATTTTTGGTTTTTATTTATATAATTTGTAATTTGTTTGAATTCTTACTTATTAATCAAAAATATATAAAATTACAAAATTTTTTTGATCATGTATGAATTAAAATCATCTTCACTCCTTTCTAAGCACTTGAAAACGACAAAAAAAAATTTTAAAGCTTAGTACGCAGCTTACCTGTTTATCTATTTTAGGTATTTAAAAATAAAAAGGACAATTTTTGAAAACAGATTAATCGATAGCCGGAAGCTAATCGTGATCGTTAAAAATCCAATTAATTCCTGTGAATGTAGAATAAATTTTATGTCGTATACTTTTTTCTGCTTGTGCTCATAAGAAAATGGATTACAGGACAATTTTAAGTGTTATTATTTGTTTTCTTTATTTGTTTCTAAGCAGTCACTCCACAAAAATGTGTGTGTTTTTTTCTAGCTTTTAAACGAAACTCATTAAGAAAATTTGTTTTAAACTAGTGCTTGTTGTTGGTACGTAAGCTTAAAATCATATTCATTGAACGTCCTGAAATATTGAAAATAAATTAAATTGAAATTAAAGTGTGGTTTGGTCGTTCTGTAATGTTGAAAGCTCAGCAGGGAGAGCTTTTGTGCAGGGAATGGAAATTGTATACTTTATCCTACCTATCGCCAACAAACACAACAAAAATTATTTGGGTGCTTGTATATCGATGCACATCGGTCGGGAAAACGGAATGGAGGACTCGCGGGATAATCGTGTAAATACGTGATAGCCGATCAAAAAAGACAAATGCTTTAAAAAATCGATGCTGAAAATTTTTTAATTTCTGCTTTTTGTAAGATTGGAAAAATAAATATTAAATCCCGTATCTTATTATATATTTTAACAGGATATGCGACCTGGACTATGAAAGGTACTAGTATATTGATGCCGCGAGTCCTAATTATATGGCTAGTCGCGGATCAAATATCAATATCATGAGTAGTTTAATGACAAAATGGTTGAAATGGATGGGATACAGGACTTTCAAATTTTGCTACAGATTTGAATAACATTGAACTGACTCTCGCATATTTTTTATGGAAAGATTTGCGCTTAACATATCCGGACCCCTTGACCAATATCGGACCAATATGGAACTCAACGGAGTTCGGATGTAAATTATAAATTGTATTGTTTAATTAATACAAAAAAAGTGCACAGCTCTAACAGTGACACAACATGGTTTATTATACGTTCCTCGATAAATTCGATATATTGTAGTGCCACCACTATATCTCGGAAATCATTACATTATAAATTTATACATAAATATATGCCTATTGTATTCGGAGTATGTATTCTGCATTTATTTATAACGAAAATATATCAACGTTAAATTCATTTACATATCGGATAATTATATAGTGTACAAAGTGATTCGCTAAAGTTAATATCATATACATCTCAATGTATAATATATATTTATTTGTACCATATGCATACAGACATCTATATAAAAATATTTATACGCGCAATTGCATTTAAAATCTTGAAACTCGTCTCTAAAAAATAATGGTTTTACCCATACCATTTGTGAAAACCACAACAAGTTACATAGTTAAATCTCAACGTGTCCCTAACATGAGCATTAGTGTTATTAAGACACATGTATGTCACTCGCCTCTAACATTATAAGAAAAATGGAATACAAACATTAATAACAATTATGCCAATAACATGAATTGATTAGATAATTGATAGATAATTCGTCCTATCAAATAGCTTACGTACGTTCGTGCATACATACATACATACATACATATGTATCTTTACAGCTGAGCATTTAAAAACATTCACCTACTTTCGTACGTATGTCTATGGACGTATGTATATAATCATTATATGTATATGTATGTTTACATGTCTGTTGACTAATACAATGTGTAAATGATAAATATGATACAAATATATTCACATATGCGTAGTAACATTAATGCAAATCTAAAAAGTATGTAAAATTAGTTTAGTACAGACCTTTGTTAGCTGCCGTTTGTAATGCACCCAAGTCAAAGAATTTCAAAAGTTATTTACAAATTGTATTATTATTGCTTTCGTATTGATTACGGTGAATTGTTTAGATCTGGAGCTGGACTTTTGAACATTTTATTATAAGTGTCTTGGAAATGGGCATAAACACAGTGCGCACAAATTGTTTCCGTACAGAAACTACTTATGTCATTGATAAAGAAATACTTAACACGCAATAGGTAAACAAGAAACGTATATGGCTCAAAACTATTTCGGTTCGTCCCCAAGTGCCTTTAACAAGTTAAAAAATATTGCTAAAGGATTAAAAAAAAAAAACCAATAAGAAAGCTGTAACGGAACTGTCCGACTAGCAGATACCCTTTGCAAAAGTGACCTATCAAGCATTAGAGCGCACAGTGAAACGTATTAGCAAGTATTCCAGGCGCCTACTGCGCACTTTATGCTTTTGCTTTTGCGTTTACCTCTTTCTACGGCTTAAAATGTTTTTTTTTTTTTTTGTCTTTTTATTTATTAAAAAGTGTAGTTTCATGTTCATGATATTTTGGGCCTAAATATGCGTGCTATACATAAGGCCAGGCCTACTAATTGCAATATGTTTATAAATAATAGTGTTTCTTCTATGAGAAACGGTGTCTAACTAATTATTTTCGAGTCAAGTTAAAAAAAAATAAAGGAAATTTCGATTTTTATCAATGTCAAATAAGTGGAATGTGAAATGTGTAAACAATATGATAATCTTGCAATAACTTGAGTATATAGGGAATATAGAATGTACATATGTATATGTTTTAAAAAGTTGCCGAGAACGCCCACGCAGACGGACATGTACAAGTTAAGACTCGGATGTTGAGATCAAGATCAAACATATGCATACGTATACATATTTACTTTCTTCCGGCGTTTTCTCTATTTAGAGGTCATTTATATTTTAATATAATTATAACGCAATCAGAGCTAAACCGGATCAGAAATATTATTATTATATGTTTCTGTTGTGACAGTTGAAAAAGTTTATCTTCTCTATAAATTTGTTTATCAAGAATGATTTTTTTTAAAAGAATTCATGGTTGTTTTGTATCTATATTAATAATTATATTCTTTCATATTCAAATATTACAGGTTTGGAAGGCGGGTAGATTTATGATGGCTTCCATGTCAGAGAACGGAATAGTACTAAAGGAATATCAAAAGAAATTGAAAACAATGAAAAAGAAATATTTTGTTTTGCACAAGGAAACAAGAACTAAGAAAGCAAGATTGGTGTATTACGATAGTGAAAAGAAATTTCTTCAAAATGCACCACCAAAACGCGAGATATATGTGGCAGATTGCTTTAGTATAAATCGACGACTTGACACCAAACATAAGTATGTCTTAGCCATATCATCAAAAGATGGCGGCTTTGGAATCGTTATGAATTCCGAAGAAGACTTAAAGAAATGGTTAACCAACTTGCTATACATTCAACGAAATACAAACGGAACTCAGATAGAGTACGGTAAGTTATTAGTTTAAATATGTCAATACCTATTTCTAAACCAGGATATTTTAAGACATCAGCTAGCCTAAATATTTAATTTGAACATACTCTTAATGATGTTTGTATTATAGACCATGTTTGGCAAGTTGTTGTCCAAAAAAAAGGCATTTCTGAAAGTGTTGGGATTACGGGCACCTATCATTGCTGCCTAACATCGAAGTCACTAACATTTGAATGCTTTGGAAATGAAGTTGATCGAATTTATAAAGTTGAAATACTTTTAAACACGATAAGAAGGTGCGTCACAATATTAATTTAGTTTGTTCCATTAGGCAAACATATGCTTTATTATAACATGCTGTCAATACTATTTCAGATGTGGTCACGCCTCTCCACAAAACATTTTTTTCATGGAACTGGGGCGACAGAGTGTTTTGGGCGCTGGTGAACTTTGGATGGAAACAGAGGATGCAGCAGTTGCTAAACATATGCACGATAAGATATTAAGGTAAGATATATAAACTAACGGCTTACACAGCTTTTTTTTTACCATTTAATTCACTGATTAATATATACATTTTTTGGATATTTTTTTTAGCGCAATGTCTGCTAAAACGGAGTCGAATATGAATCTTTTAAATGTACAAAAAGGACTTTCGGACCTGAGCAGTGAGCCGATGAGAAAGCGATCTTCATCAGCCAATGAGGCGTCCAAACCTATTAACGTTTTACAAAAGCGTCAAAATCCTATTGAAACACGAAGTAGTTTTTCACCGCAGTACAACAGTGAGTAAAATAAATATTTATTTTTTAAAGTTAGAATATTTTATTTTATTTATTTATGTAAACCGCAAATGCCTTCATATTTGACTAGGCTATGGACGAGAACGCTGCGACAGCTTACCAACTAGAAGTCGGACGTTGAGCGAATGCAGTAATCATACTTATGTTGAATTGAAGAATGCGCAACGCTGTAATACGATATCGGGAACGCGGTCATATTTAATTCAAAGAAACATTGACAGCCCAATATCATATTCAATGAAGTGCTCTGAAAGCGAAGGATCATCCATAAGTATTGACGATGCCTATGATAAATCTGTGCATGACGCTTATCGAATAAAGTAAGTTATCAAATTTTGTTTTATTCATATTAATTCATTTATAATGAACAAACACTGCGTTAAATCGATTTTTGAGGAGGAAATCGTAAATCATTATTTGTTTATTATCTAAATCGTCAAGGCAAATTTATTGGAATAGTTAATGTCTCTGATTATACAATATGTATACCAATTTTATAAGTAAACTGAAATCACACTAAAGAACATTTAATTTTCCTTCTTTCAGTTCAATAACTTCCAAGGCAATGATACCCGAAGAAAATATTGATGATGATTTTTTAGATAGTAATAAAGTCTCGCGAATCACTGGTAATCATAGCACAAAAATGTAATTATTTCATGCATAAATTATATTTATATTATAATTGTATAGGATTAAACAATTTACTCAATGTTGTCCACAGAGACTCGAAAATGGATTTTACCGATCACTTATCTCAAATATTAGTTCATGACGCTGATATTGATAACCAGTAAGTTTTAATTATAGATTCATTTTTAATATAACAATCAGAAGACTAGAAATTAAAATTCTTAAACTCTCTTTCAAAGTCTTCTGTAAACTTTCCAATGGCTATCTGCTTAATAATATATATTATTTATATTTATATATTAAATTTATTATTTATTATTAAATAATTTTTTAAAATAAAATAATATAAAATTGTAATTTTAGGTGTGATCGTCCAAGCCGAGCTTATTCAATTGGAAGTAAAGTCGAACACCTAAAACGGAATAAACTTCTTGGAAATATAAATGAAGTCGATAACACATCACCGCGGGTTCGAGCATATTCGGTTGGATCAAAGTCAAATATACCACGTTGTGAAATTCAACGAGGTGTTGTCTCCAAGTTAAAAAAGGGTCACATTCATAAAGGGAGCATATGCAACGTAGATGGTCAGACATGCACTGATAGGTTCGGATACAATTCTCCAAAGGAAATGAAGTCGACGAGTGCGCCTCTTCTAAATGTAAGAAATTTCGTTAGTCCAGTACGCATGAGTGATTTAATGGAAATCGATTTCTCCAATGCCACTCCAACATCCACTAGTTCACAACAATTATCGTTAAGAAATTGTCATGTACCTAAAAATGTGCAAGCTGAATTCCCAATTCATAAAAGTGCGCCTATCGCAAATCCAGGTTTAAATGGAACTAGCAAGCTGATCAGGCAAAATGACTTGATCAGTAAATTTAGAGCACCCAAATCTGAAGAAAACTCAGAGAGTGGCTATTTAGAGATGAAACCAGTTAGTATGGTGAACACTTCCTTTAAACAAATAAGCATTGATGAAGACCAGAGTGAGAAGTTGAGGACTCAAAGTCAATTCCTCTTACAGCTGCAAGCGCGGGATGAAGCTAACAATGATAATAAAATTTCCTCAGAAGCGTCAGAAAAGAATGCAGATTTGCCAGAGTCTCAATATAAAACGAACATCAATTCAGAGAAATCAGAAAGTATTGAGAAATCCCACCCCGAAAGTGATTTGCATACCAAAATGAAAAACAGACTATTAAATTTTGCCTTAGATATAAGTAATGCAACTACAGCTGGAAGAAAGTTAATACATTCGATTAGTAACGAAGACTATACGAAAAATCTAAGTAAATCAAATGCAGCTGATTCAAATGATGTCGGCTACCAAATTCTGCAAATCAAAAGTGATAGTTCTCTAATTTCAAAGAATAAAAATCAAAGGCCATCCTATAAGCCACAATGTGGTCGACAAAATCTTCTAGACGGTGTAAATAGAATGGATAAAAAAGAGCAAGTTTTAAATACAAACACTAAATCTAATTTGTTAAAGGAAAAAGAAACAAATATTTTAAATGAGGAGACGGTATCAGAAAGTGTTCAAAATAAGAATGAGAAAAAGTTACCTTCAGGCGTGTGCGAATATGAACTTTATTATGCAAGTTTAGACCTTCCACAAAGTAGCGGACAATTGGCAACAAATTGCCTTAAGAAAGTCTCATGTGAATCTCCGCCAATTCCAAGTTGCTTTGAGAACACCAGCTCATATGCAAAAATTGATTTTGATCAATCTGATTCATCGTCTGCTTCGTCAAAAATTTGTAATATCTAAAATCTAATATAAGTATAAATAAAAACGCTTTTCTTAAAAAAAATTTAACTTGTTATTTAATAAATATATTTTTTTTTACCATGCTGTCTTGCAAAAGAAAATGGTAAACAATTTGCTATATATGATATGCGATAAATGCGGGCTGGTAATGCTTGAAGCTCTTATTTAGCATAATGGTGATTATGGTAAAACATACGATCTTCAACATGTCATCTGATTCCATAGGCTTCAAAATTCAACACGCTTGAGCTGGGCTAGCAGAAACTGCCGAAAAATTCAGACTTCACAATAGTTGATTGTCGAACATTTTCGCAGGAACACCCGTAAGATAGAAACCTTTCTAGTTTTATGCGAACACAAATGGCGAACAAAATGTTCGTACGCACACTCCTATCCACATTCGAATATTTGACGAACACATGTTCGCGTATCAAATTCGTCTGTGGATAGCCCCATTTAATCGATATTTATCGTTAAAGGTTGATGCTTTTGACATGCGATAAATTGCGCTAATAATGACAATTTATTGCAAAAGACCGGGAAAATTGTTGATTTTGTATTATACATCTGCGGAAACGGCACATTAAAATCTTTTAGACATTCACTAGAAATAGGAGTGTTATTTAAGTTTCAGCCAATCGGCTTTATTGTGTAGTTTTTGTTATGTTTTTTGTTTTTATTTATGATTTTGTAAATTATTAATTTACACAATCTGCAATATATCTACTAAAGAACAAGCAAAGAATTTTTTAATTACTCTTGTGGAACACTTTCAAATATTCAATACAAAGTAATTGACGCTAGCTTGGCGCAAAGATTTGTCAAAAGTAGTCATAAGATGTAACTAAAAATACAAAAGCCGGCATTTGGATACTGTTCAGTGAGCAAGAATTCGGTATTTTAAAATACACTAAATAATCTTGCACATGTTTTAGCATTACGTGTCAGAAATATTGTGAGATAAAAATGGAGACGAATTGGATTTTGTTTTATGTTACATTAATATGTTTAATTATAAATCCGATAACGGCAGAAATTGTAAATAAAAATGTGGAAAGAAATTTGGATATAGCTTCTCAGCTCGTAAAAACATCATATAAAATACAAGTTGAGGAGACAGCCGGCAAACCATTGAAGGAGTACGAATTCATTGTAAAAGATCCAAATCTGTCTTTTATATCAGTCAAAGATGGATTCAATAAGAGACCCACAATTGAGAAAAGAAAAGAGAAGGAGAACGGTCTAACAAGATATAAAATAACATTTGCATCAAATGCACCGCAACAAACTTTACTCATTGAAACAGTTTCAACCAAAAATATACTGCCATATCCATCGGAAATCAAGCAGAACGATAAACAGTTGGTCAAATATGTTGGTGGTCTTTATTACTATTCCTACTATCTAACACAAACGCAAAGACTTAACGTTCAACTTAGCTCGTCCAATATAATTGCGCATACACAGGTTAGACCATTTGCAGTAATGTCGAATAAAATATCTTATGGCCCGTACGAAAATGTCGCAAGTAAGTAATATCCTTATATTAAATTATGTTGCTAGGATTAACTTGAAATTGAATTAAACAGAGTTGACTGATGACGAGCTGTTCGTGCACTATGAGAACCAATCTCCGTTTTTGACTGTGAACACGTTGGAGCGCACTATTGAAGTTTCACACTGGGGCAACATTGCTGTGAAGGAGGAAATTCAAATGACGCACACTGGTGCAAAATTGAAAGGATCCTTTTCGCGTTATGATTTCCAGAAAGATGGTCGTTCTGGCCAATCGGCTGTCAAGTCGTACCGAACCTACTTACCGGCATCGGCCACTGGTGTCTATTACCGCGATACCAATGGCAATATCTCTACCTCAAATATGAATCAAATGCGTGATTCTGTTGAACTCGACCTGCGTCCCCGCTTCCCATTATTTGGTGGATGGAAAACGCAATACGTGCTCGGGTACAATGTGCCCTCCTATGAATATCTGTATAACTCCGACGACGATTATGTCCTTAAGATGTATGTCATCGACCATATACACGATAACATGGTGATTGATGAAGCTGTCATAACTATTATATTGCCGGAGGGCTCGTCGAATATCAAGCTTGAACCACCATATAGTATTGAGCGGCGACCAAACTCATTGGTTCACACCTATTTGGATACTGTGGGACGTCCAGTTATTTCATTTTCGCAAAGTAATTTGGTAGAAAATCATATTGCAGAGTTCACTCTCAAGTATAAGTTCTCAAAGGTATCGCTGCTTCAAGAGCCACTCCTAGTTATTGGATTTATTTATATTATTTTTCTACTTACCATTGTTCTTCTACGGCTAGACTTCTCAATAACATCCCATTCCCATAAAGATTAATATCTATATATAAAAATATACACTTTTGATTAATGACTATCAAATAAAAATCGAAATTTTCAAATATTTCAATATTTGCATTTTTGTATACTGTATGAATATATTAAGTACTATTGTAATTTTCCAAGTAAATAGCATTGAACTGAATAAATATGTCTATACTAGAAACACGTTATGAATATTAATGAAATAAATAGTTTTTGTCTGTCTCATATAATAAATTCATTGTATATGGAAGCCAAAAATATTCTAGGGACTCTAAATAAAAATCATTGTATATTATTAAATAAAATTTTAGATTAGAATGTGTAAATTTTGCAATTTTTGATACTTGGAAATATTTCCGATTGCCTATCCCACACACAAATTGATATCTATTAAAGACTTGCCCAAAAGTAGGCACCATCAATTTATTGATCTTATTTTAGTATAGTTTAACATATGCTTAAAATTAGTAAAGAATAGTTCAATTGTCTATTTTTATTTTCAAGTTTATTTATTCACAACAATTAATATTTATTTCTAGGAGTCCTAATTTCATTTATTATTAAGCAGTGCCATATTTCAAGGCTTTTCTGCTAGATTATATTATTATTTAGAAATATGAGTATTTAGCCTTATTTATATCCCAACAAATTCCGTTGTTGTATTCATTATTTTACAACTCTTTGTGTGGAGAGAATGCTCTAATTGTTAAATGATTTCTAAACCGAATTTGAATTTGTTTTAAGTAATTTTAGAAATCCACTAAATTTGAATTTTAAGTCCCAAATTCTAATATAAGCCAATTATAGTATATAGTATTATATTTTATTAGTTAATATTCATTCTCTATGTATTTCAGAAGCTTGGCTAATCGGGAAATACTATAACCTAAATTGAAGCTTGATTACTTGGTATTTAAATCTACATACTCTTGTGTATTCCCATCCCAGAAAAATATATATTGTATATTGCACATAGCTTTGCCCACTTGGACAGTTAAAAATCTTATCTTCTACCGTTTCAATAGGAAGAGTCCCACAATTAGTCAAGAATATTATATAGATTGATGAAAAGCGATTGGAAAAGTTAGATCACTTTTAATATCATCTAGTGATAGAGATATGTATATGTACATATATGGCTCGAATTGGGGCGTGGCAAATCCGCAAATATCAACACATTTAAATATATTTGCCATTTGAGCTGCGTTCGCAACGTGAATGATTATTATGCATATATGCTTGACTTTTTACATTTTTTAAAAAACAAAAACAAGTTAAAACTGGTTTATATTTTGAGTTTCGCCCTTCAACATAACTACTCCCGAAGGATTTACCTTAACCTTGATTTTAGTTTTCGGAAACAATATACCATAGTTAATATTCTCATAAAGGTCCTGAAATGAAAGGAAGAAATATATCTAAATGTATAAAATATTTATATAATTTATAAATTGTTTAAATAATATTTTCGATTTACCTCAACCCGATATCCATAATTATTGATAAGACCCAATTCCCTTAGTGTAACTGAAATATCAGAGGGTGTTCCATCGGTTCGTCTATTTATGAAGGCGAGCGCGTAGGAGTAGAAATTCTGATATACTGGACTTATCGGCTTCGACCAAATTTCAATTCCCTTATGCTTATAGATTCTTCGGCCTTGTATTCCCAACGGATCCTGATCCACAGAAATGATCTTGCGGTTGAGTAAAATTTCTTTGAACTCTGGCCGAATTGTCCTCAAGTCCACCGACATTAAAAGAGGAGCCGCTAAAATTGACCAAATTGCGAATTGGGTTTTTGCCTGTTCGTAGCTTAGACCAAAGTTTCCGATTATTAACTAGAAATAATAAACAGGGTATAAAAAGTTATAAGTTCCCGAATTCTTATTTTCCTGAAGTAATTACCATATCAGGATCATTCCAGTGCCCGGGTCCGGCGTTAGGCGCTATCAAATCCTGATTATTTCCATAGTAGTCAATAATATTTTCAACGGATGCCCACGAATCTTGAATATCGTCGAAGTTCCTCCAGAGATTGCAATGTGTTTGAATAGCCGAGAAATTGGGCTGGATGCCCGCATAGATTTGATAAACCGGCCAGCTGCACGAGTAGACCATTGCCTTTCCAGTCCTATTCAGAAATCTGCCAAACTGCGTATACCCTCGATCCATGTCATAGGGCAAGGCATAGCAGCCATCCAATTTCACATAATCCACATCCCATTCGGCAAACTGAAGCGCATCGGTTTCCTCATAGCCAATGATGCCGGGATAACCAGCGCATGTGAAGTTGCCATAGTCCTCATAAATACCGAATTTCAAGCCTCTCGAATGAATCTGAAAATATTGAAAATGTCATCATAATTATTGTGTTAAGTAAATTTATAGAGATTAGTTTGGCAGGATGAGATATTAGATGCCGAAGTACTTAGTGGTAAAATGAGACATAATTTAAGCTTAGCATACGAAAGATGCTAAGTAAATGTTATACATACGTAATCTGATAAGGCTTTTATGCCACTAGGAAATCGCTTATGATCGGCTAAGAGCTTGCCATCTATGTCGCGGCGCCTTTCCAGCCAGCAGTCATCAATATTCACATACTCATAGCCCACTGAAGCATAGCCCTCAGTGACGAGCAGATCAGCCATTACTTGAAATAGTCGCTCACTAAAACAAATTGTGTAGAAATAAAAAAAATATAAACATATTACTAACCATTATATATCTAAAATTTTAATACTTTTTCTAATAATCCATTGAAAGATTATATATCATAATATCTAAGCGTTTAATTAACGTTCCCAATTAATTAACGTTCCCTTAATTTCTTCTTCTCGTTTGTTTATAAAGTCCTCTTTAAGCAATCAGTCAATAAATTTAATATCAGAATTGACTAAACCCCAAAGCACATTTAAAGGAAATACTTTGGACATACCTTATACAATTGTCGGGATCATTTGCACAGTCTGTGTTGCATCGAAACCGCTCCCAGGATAACCAACCCATTGGAGGAGTCCGGGCCAATCCATTTTCCAAGCAGTGGCAAATCGCATTGAGTGCACCTATAAGGAAAATATACCTATACATAATGTCTGAAATATAAAAAGATATATATATATAACATTCTGGTTTTTCAATAAGTTCTTTTTCATGTTATTCATTTGGTTATATCACATATAAGATTTAAGCATACGACAGAGCTACTGTATTATGTCTATATATTTTCATAATAAATGTTAACAAAGAGGTTTCCTCAATAAATTTAAATATAATATTCAATTAATAGTTTAAATCAATGTGCCTCTGTAAATCAGGTTAGTATTTATCTACCCAACGTGCAATCATGATCAGATGTAAACTGTTTAGGTAATATTATTTAATATAATATATTAGTTAGTAATTTGACTTAAAATCTAAGTACTTTAGTACGGAAAATTACCTAGAATTAATATACTCTGATTAACTTGCTAATGAGTATTACAAAAGTATGGGAAAAACTAGGAGAGCTCAGTGAAAGAGAGGGATAAATGGTTAGAGCTAATCTCAGAGCGGGCGAGAGAGTTATAGAGGCATTGAAAGAAAGGCAAGAATGGGGAAATGATTATTTAAATCAAACTAAATTCCAAGAAATACCAGAATATTCTGTTTCATTATTAGTAGATAAATCTTTAAGAATTAATAATTATATATTACTATTATATTATATTATGTAGGTTATATTATTATAATTTTCTATATTAATATATATATTATATGTTCTTATCAATTTATCATCAATGAAAAAGAAATAAATTAGATCTGCCCTCTTGGGGCCGCTATAAATTAAATTAAAAGTTTTTCCATTTTATCTCGTTTGTATGCCTCCCCCTCTCTTTGTCTGTAATATTGCAAAATAAAAAAAAAATATCTAGAATTTCCGTCTGTTGCTTTGGCACGTCGATTTGTGTTCTCCACATTCAAGATCATATATTTAAATCAACTTCTTTCTAAAGGTTGTGTAAGTTGGGACGAATGGGATTTGGAAAGCAGCGACGCAGCTGTTGTTGCATAAAGTGCAAAATAAGCGGCGCATGCGCGAATGTGTATCCGTGTGTGTGAGTGAGCGAGTGTGCCTGTGTGCATTTGTGTATGTTTTTCTGTTGTATATCAAGAAGGCTGGAGTGATGGAAACAGGTATTGAAAGTATATCCAAGTGTAAAGATTCCTCCTAATGCACTCTTACAGATTAGTAAGCTCGCATCGCCTTGTATAATTGCAAAAACTATACATAAATATACATATCTATATATCTACATACATATATATATTGATATATATACATACATATGTATAGCCAATAAATACTTGATTGAGAACAATCTGTGGTCACACTTGAGCATTTAGAAAGTCTTAAAGCTGTTCGAACATGATCATACCTTTGATTCGCTTTGCATTTAACGTTTAAAGCTAAATTTGATTCGATTTCAGACACAATCCAAAAACTGTTGTGGGTAGCGTGTAATATACAGTACAGTGAAGTGATTTACAAAGTCAAACAGTGCAGCTCTATTTGTTTAATCAAACACCATTGGTCGAAGCTACTTTAAGCAAATAAAATACTTAGGGTGCTATAAAAATTAGTGGATCATTACGAAATCAGAATGCGCAAGTCGGGCGTGCTCGACTAAAGTATGCATAGAAAAATTTTGTAATGAAATTAAATTGAATTTATGCAAATAAATTTTTTATGTGTGAGGTGTGGCCAAGTTCTAAACATTTTGATACACATTTAAATTTATATGTAAATATAGCTTCTTTGGAGACATGTATATGTAGATATATTCTTGATCAGTCAAGGTATGCGTGCACATCTTTTTGTCTGTCTGTCTGCATGAAACCTTCGAATGATAACATTTTTTGGTAAATTCGAATATATTCTTCTTTATATATTGGCAATAATTTTTTTAATGTCTTTCCGTTTCATTCAATATAATTTGCGAAACTTGGTATAACAGTTAAGCTTAAATTAGTCAATAGGTATACTTTTCAAATGCTATCAGTAAACGACTCTAATATCTCACCTGTATAAAAATTAAAACGTTGACAGGTATAATATTTGTTGATATCCAAACCGAATAAGTTATTTGTAATTTATTTATAGAAGATCACAGAAATCTGAATTCTATTAACCCTAAAACTAGAAGAATGACACACCCAAAACTCTTAAAAATGTAATCAGATTATCAATAGAATCTCCTAATAGTCATGATTAATATTAAATCTTGAAGTTCTTAGGAAAACATCGAGCAAGGGTTGTTTGTCTCATTAAGAGCCATTAAGAGCTCAGGTATCAGAGAACAGGTATAAAACTTGTCACAGTGCAATAACCTTAAGGGACATCTCTTGATGAGATTTATATTTTAGTTTCCTTAACCTTTATTCTAAACTTTATTCAAAGATATAATTTAAGTCTTACCAACTTTTAGTATCTGGCAATTGACATTAAAATATGTGCTGTAAGAGTTTTAATATTATACAATGAATGGAAACTAAGAGTAAATACAGATAAGTTGTAAAACCATATTGTATTGAGTAATAACATAATAATGCTAATTATAAAGGATTATTAAAAAAAAGGGGTTTTGAGCGAAAAGTATCATATATATTAAACAAATTATTTGCAGTAACCTTTTTTTTTGCTCATCATAGTACTAAAATACAAAATCAAACATTATAATTTGGCACACAAATTTCTTCTAAGTATTTCTTCTTTCTACTTTCTACTTTCTTTAAAATTTTCTTCTAACTGTTTTCTTTTAATATTTATTCTAAGTCTTTCCGATTAGAATTTCTTCTAAGTATTTCCACTAAATACTTTCATTAAGCATTTCCTCTAAGTCCTTAATGCTTAGCTGAACGATCGCACAATTCACTTCACTTCACTTTACTTCACTTTACTGCACTGCATGACTGACCCCCACCAGATCTGGGCGACTGAAGAAATACTGCAGTTGCTGCCCTTTATATAGGGCGTCATTCACTCAATCACTACATCGTGCTCAAGTGTTGAGTCCGGCGCCAGGTAGAGGTCGTTGCATCGAGCTTTAAGTGACCACCCTCTGCTGTTGCAAGCATTTTAGCTTCGTTTTACTCAAATATTGTATAAATGCCAAACGAAAACTGATGCATACATATAGACATATAGAAAGATATACAGATAGACATAAGAGTAGATATATATCAAACATTATTCTGCTCATGAACATAAATGATCAAAGGGGCTAAATGGTATAGTAACTAGCATATGTACATTAATGTTTATAATTATTGAATATCGTTGAAAGCAGTTTCTTTTCTTCTATAGTTCTCTTGAAAACTAGAATTTATGCATAGTCTGCCTCAATTTCTGGCCATTTCATCCCATACGCGTTTTCAATGGGTTTATTATCAATCGGCTAGACCACTTTCACTAGTTCTAGCTTGAAACATGCTAAAGTGGCAACACTGCTGAACGGACACAATAATTTAGTTTAGCCATTCACCATTCGATTCTTTGTTATGTTGCTATAGGATCTCAGTTTGTTGGCATTAACAGCCCATTATAATATATTCAGAATATATGAATACATCGATACTTTACTTTCGAAGTGCAATAGAATCAAGTTGCTGTTTCAAGAATGTGTTTCTTTAACTTATTTTATATAATTTTAAATTCATTTAAATAAATACATTTTACGCGCGAAATGTCATCGAATGCGAATATAGCAGTTAGCTTTTGATTGGCAACAGCAACAGCTTGCGGGACTTGTTGGCTCAAAAAGTTGGCATCTCCACACAAGCGCAGCCAACTTTAAGTTAGTTTAAAATATCAGTTGCTGGTAGATAAATATTGTAAAAAATAAATATCTTATTGTCTATTTATGGAGATATCGGTTCGATTTCTGATAGTGTACATATATGTACATATATGTATGTTCATGTATTATGGTAATGTGAATATAAAATTTTTATTATTTTTATTTTAGAAACTGCTGACTATGCCATATTAAAACTATAAATATTAATGTACTTTGCGGAAAGACTTATAAGTAATACTTAGAAGAAATTTTTAGCGGAAAGACTTAGAAGAAATTCTTACAAGAAAAACTTTCAGGAATCACTTGAAAAATTAAAGGTTAGAAGAAACTCTTTGAAGAAATACTTAGAAGAAATATTTAGAGGAAATACTTAGCAGAAATACTTAGAAGGAATACTAAGTGAAACATTTAGAAGAAATAATACAAACTTAGACGAAATAGATATAGTAAATTTGTATCAAATCAATTTAAAATAAATTGGCAAATGAACCCAGAACATACATAACTCTTCTATTTTTCATATCTCGCTAATCCAGCATTTTTCCTACATTTAAGCCTGCTTTATTTAATGTTATTAATCTATATTTCGAAGCTCAACAGCTGGCAGCACTCAAACGGTAAGCGTGCCCATTTTTATAAATTTTCTCAAACATACCAAAATTGACAGTAAGTTTAATATGGCAATTGATTGCAGGGTATATTATATATTTGTTTAGAAATATTTATACATACATATAAACATACGTAATTGGGGTGACTTTTCAGTGGGTTGATGCTATAAAAAATAATCCCTATATAGGATAGGGTAAAAGATTATATGCGAAAATCAAAAACAATCTGTGTGGGTGCTCTTCATAGTGTTTATTAAAGTTGTCTCAATATCACGACTTAATCTATGCAAAATACTTAGTTCATTTGATGTTCTTGTAAATCCATGGCAGCAGCGAGGTGACACGAGTGTAGACACCTGGATATTGGCCCTTGCCGCAGCCAATGCCCCACGAGACGATGCCCACCTGTGTGTATCGGTTGCCCTCGTTGACGATCATCGGGCCACCAGAGTCGCCCTGTCAGAAAATAAAACAAAGATTAGTTTGATTATCCGCTGCTAAGTTAGTTAATTCTTTGACTAACGCTGCACGAATCCTTGGACGCCTGACCAGCACAGATCATAGATTCGATGATGCCGCCGGGCGCAGCACGTCCGTATTTATGAGCGCACTCCGAATTCGTCCAGATTGGTATGTCCACCTTTTGCAGAATCGATGGCTGAGGTCCATTCTCGCGCAGGCTGCCCCAGCCGGCGACCGTCGCCACCTGTCCGCTATAGGAGCGAGCCTTTTGGGTTGCCGAGGTGGGCAAGCAAATCGGTTGGATCTCGGTAGAGAAGGGCACGGGCTCGCTCAACGTCAAAATGGCAATATCATTGTGCTGAGCACGTAGAAGAAATATATTACGGGATATATAATATAATATAATATATGATTAGCACACTTACCAGGGTGCTAAATTCGAAACCCTTGTGCCGCACGAGTCGTTTGATGCGACGTGAAACGTGTTGCACCTCAAAGTCCGTGCGGATGTTATAGTCACCCAGATGAGCTGTCAATGCGGCCACATCCCATGAGGTCATTCTGGAATTTAAATCAGCTTTACTTCATCTAGCATCAAGTTTCCTAATTTCAATTACCTTGCCACACAATGTGCTGCCGTGAGAATGTGATTGTTGGTTATTAGACTGCCGCCGCAGAACTGTTTGCCGGACTTGAAGAGCACGGCCATCCAGGGGAACTCATGCGGACTCGCGTTGTTGCCGCCAACAATGCGCTCCTGGTCGGGCGACACGGGATTCTTCTTGCCGCACTGCAGCGGCAGTCCTTCAGGACTGTAGCCAGTCGTTGGACGGCGTGTGGTCGTTGTTGTTGTTGCTGTCGTCGGATAGCTGGGCCGACGCGTGGTCGTTGGCGGTCTGCCCTGTGGGCGTGGCGTTGTACGCCGAGTAGTTAGCCCCGAGCTTGTTGTGGTGCCAATGGGTCGTGAGGTCGGATGCGTTGGATACTGATGGTTCGGTGGGTGTGTCGGTATCGGTGGTGGCCAACCCCCAACGCTGGGCGGATGGGTGGGCAATGGCGGCGGCCACTGTGGAAAGCCACCGGCAAAGTTGCCGAAGGGCCATTGGTAGGGATTCACGGCGGTAGTGGGGAGCGTGGTCGATGGTGTTGGCGCTGGCTGCAGCTCGGGTGCATTGGCTTCAATGTGGTTGATATCCTGAAAGTCGGGCATATCCTCAACGCTATTTTGAACAGTATCAATTGGGTCTTTGTCATTTTCATCGGGATTCAGATTGTCCTGCGGCTGATCTGGCTCCTCCACGTCATCAGCCTCTTCAATCTCATCGATACCCACGGAGGGCTTCTCCGTTGTTGTCGTCGTCGTTGTTGTTGTCGTCGGCATTGGATAGCCGCCCAATGGATTGGTATCCATGCTTGGACAACATATGCCGTTGTTAATGCGTCCAAGCTGATCGTAAAAGTTGCATATATCAGAGCCAAATCCGAGTGAACCAATGGGCGGTTGCCACTGGCGCACTGCTAGGATCGATAATTGCCGCACCACGCGATAATACGATCGGCAGCTGTCGATGCGAACGCAACTGCCGGGCTGGGCTCTGGAGGTTAAGCACCTCGAGCCTTCCCAGATTCCAGCATTGGCCAGACTGGCCTGCAGTAGAAACAAGCTCGGATCAAATAGAAGTTGTCGCTGCTGCCTGGCTGAGCCTGCAGATAAAGATGCTAGGGAGTTGACAGGAAATTTAAAGAATAATTGTTTATAATTTGTTAAAAATATAGCTCTGAAGATAGGTTAAATAATATATATCAAATATAATCTAATTTACCCTGAAATGATATTACTCCCTTCTTACTAGATTACTATTATTATTATTACTCCTATGCTTATATGAATATTTTTGCGAAAATATCTCATTTTTATATGCATATTTAATAAAGTTTTTTGTTTTGTTTTTTTTTTTTTCTTACCAAAAATATGCAATATATTGTTAATATAAAAATCATATAAGAAATCAAATATTGTAAAAAAAATACAAAGTCTTCAAAAATGGGATTGGCGTCATATAAATAGAATTACATATATGCTTAGGGTGTTATGGATAAACAGCTTAATTGATTCGTTTTCCTTTAATCACATTTCATATAAACAACTTCCATTGACCTGTTGGTTGGCAGCTGTCATAACAATTTAAAATCCGTCAAATGAGATTTGTGGCCAATAACAATAAACATCAGAATGTTTTCATGATTTGGGCCAAGTGAGTAAGAAGTAATTCGGCTTTCAGCTGGAATGTCTTTTGCACCCGAATTTTATGTTGCATGACTCAGAATTCATCAAAATTTGGTGAGTCTACTAACATTTTTGTTGGGCTGTTCGCTTCGTAATATGCAAATATCATTTACAAAATGCTTACTCAATATGCGCAACGAGTCGTCAACGTAGTCTCCATTACGGACAGAGCAGAAGCGAAAAAAAAAACACGTGCAGTCTGGTAGCCGCGAATTCCAACCGATCGAACTTTATGCACATTTATGTGTCCATTAATATAACACCTCACTAACATGTGAACAATAAAAAAAAAAATATTTTCACTATGTGTAATGCTATGCGTTAAAGCAATTCTACTTGGGAAAACATAGCATTTATTGATTAAGGATTATCTTTAACCTGAGCTTTAATATAAATTAAATTCTGAACTTTCTCATTAAAGTTTATGTTTAAAAGTTAAAGTTTATGTTAAAGCTATGTTTATGTTGTATGCATGTTATATGTCTTCATTTGGGGATTGCCGTACATATCCATTGAATTATCCAGAATGAGAAGGCTGTATCGTAAATAAGTTAGTTTTCAAACAAAGAATCTTGCGATCGATCCTGCACAAGTAACCAGCTCATTTGAACAGGTGGTTTAATGGTATGTAAATCTGCATACAAATAGCTTTTCGTAATCTTAAATAGTTTTTACACAGTTTAGGTTTTTGTTGTTGCAAACCTTACTCACGGGATATAAAGCTAATAGCTAATGGGTATTTAAAAACATTTGGGCCTTTAACCGAGCAGGGCTTTTGAATGTGAACTGAAATTTAAAGACTTTGTGGTATAGTTGAAATATTTAGAAAAGGTTCTTCAACGATTTAATTTAAATGTATAATGTACTGTAATGTAGTATTTATGTAGGAAATTCAAAATTCGAGCTGCAGGAACTACGCAGTGCTTTAACTAAGCATTAAAGATTTTTGACTTTAGTTACTTCTTTTTCTTGGTATAGTATATTTTAATTTTTATAAGGGAGTAGAAATTTAAATTATATAATTATAAAGTGGCCTTTATTATACACAGCTTTACTTTGTCAAAGCTATTCAGATGAACCAAAATAAATTAATTGATTAATGATTCTATAACTATTATAATCAATCGATTTTTTTATATAACAAAACCTAATCCATTTGAATTGCAGTTCTTCTAAAAGAGAATTTGTATTTTATTCAAATGAAAGGCACAGTATATCTTTCAGTTTTTTTTTCTTTGAATGAATAAAGTTGCCTTAAAATTGGAATAATAATATTTGTAGATTCCCATACAGCATAATAATAGAATCTGATGTGTTAACTGCTTATGAATGGAGCAAAATGTTTGCCAATGGCTGTCAGACAAAAGGCAAAGAAGCTGTGAAGCTCGTCTCGTCGATATTTTACATGATATAACATAGAATGTTTACACATAAATCACACACACACACACAATGATATCGAGAGCAAGCTAAACGACTCATTTAGGCGAAGATTTTAGTGAACGCATAAATCAACTTCGACTTTAATATGGGCCACACGCGAAATGCTAAATAAATTAAACAAATGGCAGATTTATGTTAAATTGCAAGAACAACAAGAGCAGCTGGAACAAAGACGGCGCACAATAGCTGCCTAGATCAGTTTTAAGAAGTTGCCAATGGGGTTTACATACACGCACACACTCACTCACATATATGAATATGACAAGTGACAGTAGAAAGTTGCTTAGGGGCAAGCGACACGCTGTTTTACAAAGAAATGTTGTCAATTGTGCGTTGAAAGGCGCACAGCACAGTGAAGAAGAAGAAGAAGAAAAAAAGATAAAAGCGAAAAAACGAGTGAAACAGAAAAAAAAGCCAAGACATGGAAAAAATGGCACAGCAATTGTCATTCAGCTTGAAAAGCGCTTAAGTTTATTGTCAATATTCTGGCTTTTGTTTTTTGCTTTTTTGTCAAATTTCTTCGTACAGAAATGTCAAAATATTGAGTAATCGTATAATAGGTCGTTGCGTGTAGCGCAGCTTGGAATTGGAACTCGAAGCCTGAACGAATTTTAAGTAAATATTTAAGTAAATATTGGTTCATTTTTTCTTCTACCTCATCGTCTTTGTCTATGGGCGGGCATGTTTCTTTGTCAACACAGAATTGCTAAAAATAAATAGTTTTTTTTGTTGTCTTAAGGCTAATGAACTCCTATTGATGAGGTTTAATTACTCGACATTATATTTTACTGCATATTAGTTTGGCAGGCAGGCAGGCAGGCAGACAGGTAGGCATAATATAGTTAAGAAACACCCCCTAGTGCTACAAACTTATTAACTTTAGTGTCAAGCGTGTGGCATAAGACACTTAAGATGCCCAAAGATAGACCAGCCACAAGTTCAAGGTCCGTTCGCTAGCCAACTCATACCCAGAGCCTGCACAAATCAAACTGGATTAATATAAATGCACAGACTGGCGCAGAAACTTGAAATGAGCTGCAGGACCTGTAAGCTGAGCCGCGCTGCGTTGAACCGGGGGCCAAGTCTTCTGAATTGTATAATATGAATATGGATAGGTGAGCGTGTCCACATAACTTAAATTTATTACGACGTCTGTCAGCACTGCAGCTGCTGCTAAACGTCAGCTAACTAATTGCTGCCCGTTGTTCTATTACAATTTAGTTACAATAAGAATGAATTGATTGTTATTTTGTACAGACATAAAAAAAAGAGATCAGCATTAATAGGCTTAAATGGTCGCGATGTTTTCAGAGCGCAACATGAGCAAATATCACGCCTCTTTTGTTGGTCATAAATAAAAGAGGACGGGTACATGCGACAAGCCCATTAATTTCGTATAAGTACACAAAATTTGAAAGCTCTATAGCAAATCCGCCTCCACTGCGACAATTCTTTGCGTTAAGATCGGAAGTGAGAATAGAAAGTTTGCGTCTTTTATAGTCTGGCTGGCTCAAAGGGCCGCAGCTAAGAGACGCACGCCATTAAGAGTAATTCACAAGCTTCGAATTCTCTTTTTATTTTCACTGGGCAATTTATAGATTTCTGAAGGTCACAAAAAACAATATACCGCTGCGTGCTTAGCATAAATTTATCGGGCATAGCAAAAAGTCGTTGAACTTTTATACATTACGTATATCTAGTATTTAATGGGATGTAATGCAAACAAAAGTAAAAACGAAGTCTGACATATTTATTCCTTACTTAAAATGACTTGGCAAATAAATACACTAGTTTATATATCAGCAAGTCTATTTTAATTCTTTTTTTTTTTGGGGGGGGTATGCTCTTTTTGTTTGGAAAAATTGGCATTGCCTTATCTGTCACATGTTAATTATTGTTTAAAATACGTTTGGAAATTGCTTTGTGTATCTCACGAAAATTGTTGTTAGATACTCGTATTTTAATTTTAATTACATGTGAGTTAAGTTGATTTCGAAGCACGAGTTTTTCTTTTTCTTTTGAGATTTTTTGTAGATCTTTTCTTAGGATTTCTGTCTATAAAACAATTTTCAATTAATGTTGCATTTCTCATTTGAACCTTCTTGTTCGAATTAAGGATCTAGGATCACTAATTTCTTGAGTATAAATAATTTCTTTGATTTATTAGGCAATTTATAGCTTAATAGATTTTAAAGATTGAATATTCCTGCTTATTATGTTGTAAGTTTTCTGCCTGTCTTTTTATATTTCCCCAAAATAAATTCGAAAATAAACTCTAGATTGAAGACAGACAATATGTTGGCTAGTTGAGGCCTAAGACAATATTTTTCATTGGTTTTAATTGAGCTAGCCAATAATGATTATTTATTGACATAAAGCATAATTATTAATAAACCGCTCGCAAGTTTGTTGTCTAAGTCTTTTGTTCATATCTCTGGCATGTAATCGTTTTGATACTTTTTTTTTTGTAACTTAAATAAAAAGTTATATCTGAACTAGCTTTTTATTCATGATAAAAAATAATAACTAAAGAATTGCCAAACAGCCTAAAATGAATTTCGTTGAGGAATTCTTTATATCTCGATTATTATTTGGAGATTGTTCAGCTTGAGCGTTACTCACCATCCTCGTGGCCATTAAAGTCTCGTTCGAATGTGGCATTGGACGCGGCTAGGGACTCAACAGCCTTTGTGTGTAGAATTTGATCCGATAATGTTGTTGTTGTTGTTGTTGCTGCTGTTGGTCTTATCGATGGCACAACCTCGGCTAATGTCGTTTTAAAATGCAACAAATGCACAGAAAGTAATAAAATCCGCAAAAATGCAAACATTTTGCCAGCAAAATAATTTGTTTTTTTTTTATTATTTATTTTTTTTTGTTTTATTTTTTATTATTTATGTACTTATTTTTACTATTTTGTTTTCGTTTCAACTCAGCGGGAATTGCAGACCATATATAAATGTTACAATATAGTATAGTATATAAACCGCACAAACGAAGCGCGTCTGGCTTTAACATGCGACGCACGTTGCCCGATGGCATTCACCTGGGCGGGCAGACGACTCAGAATATTTTCTCGCCTGGTTCTGGCTTGATTCTCGCAATGTCGATATCGCTTGGCCTTCGCGCGCTTATTAGAAACAGGACCGTTGGCTAGCGAGGTCCGCAAGCTTCTGAGCCAACTGATGCCAGCGAAGTTTGGTTAACAGCTATGCCGTCTGCCCTCTGCCAACGACGGCGACAGCGACGCAAACGCAGACGCGTACGTAGACGCAAACGCAGACACTGCCGAAACGTCAATAATTTTTGCGTATCGATTTGCTTGTGCTTCGCCACACGATAGGCGGTCATCTGAGTTGGTTGTCTTTTGGTTAGATTTTTGTTTATCTCTAATGCAAATGCAGACTGCATTTGGAAACAAGTTATTCAAATGCTTGCACTTGCTTCTGTTCATCCCTCCTCATGCCTCCGCCCTTCAGTCCGACTGGTCAAAGCTGAGCTCGCTCACGCACATTGCTCCAGTTGCAGACAAACCGGGACTTAAATCGAGACCGAGAACATTATATAGCTACATACTGTTAAAACGTCAACTACATCATCGCATTTTACGCTTGCTTTTAAGGTGCACTGACACTAAATTCGTATATAATATTCTTTACTAATTAAATAATTCTATTAGGATTGTGCTCATATTTTTTTTTTTTTTTATCAAACTCTCAAAGAAAATATGTGAAATTTTCTATATGTTTTAAAATTTAATATTGTTATATAATAATATATTAAGTTATATTATTATATATTGAATTATAATATAATATTACAATTGTATTATTAGATCCAAATATTAAATTCTTATTATTCTAATATGAAACTTTTCATTTAACCTTTGATTATATAATAATTTATTTATTTTTTGTTATTTATTTAACCATTATTAAATATGTTTTTTTTTAAATTTAATTTTTATTTATTTTTTTTTATATATATTTAGTTGATAAATCAATCAAATTGATAAATCAATGGGAGCAAAGATAATATGAACCAGAACTTTAAATTAAAAAATCTCTAAGTATTGATAAAAATCAGAAAATATATAGACATAAGTACAAATCCCATTTTTGTTAAGATTTATATAAGCTTTTCATCAGAACCATTTTTCCATAATACTTGAATCAATTATTTTATGCGTAATTTCTATGATAAGTGTTGAGGTGTTAGTGAAATGTCTTGCAGATTTCAATTAAAATACAAATGTCTGTAAAAATCCAATTGTCACGAACTGCGTCGGTGCATTATATTGTGTTAATAATATTTGAAATGAATTCAATTGTTTGAGAGATTGGCCAGCTCACTGTTGGCTAAAAGGCTCACCCACCTTCAATGAGCTGAATTGATGTGACGTTCTCGAGTGTCACGGCCATGGTGGCCTCAACCTTTTGGCGAGATGGCTGGGCATCAAACAATTGGGCTTGTGCATATCAATATTTTGCCAACTAATTGTCTATAATTGGACGCCAGGGGGCAATTGCCTGTTGATTGATGGCAAAGTGTTCTCGATTCGATCTGGAGTGTTGAATTTTCGAAAGTAATTCAATGAGTCGCACAGACATAATACCAAACAGGGTAAGAGCTGGGGAAAGAGCTATGACACATTCGATGCCAAAAACAATTTGGCATTTTAATAAAAAAATTCAATTTGTTATGGCTGACAAATTGCTTAAGCTGCAAATATGATATATATAGAGAGAGATTTACTCAGGGAATTATATATGTGTTTCAGGTGATCTTACCATTGGGATCTATTCAATATACGATTTCTTGTGTTTTGTTATTGTGATTTTCAACTAATTGGGATTAGAAATGGGATCCATAAATATATTTTTGATTAATTTTAATGTTATTAGTGTAAATAATACATAGGCATACAACTCTTTCCCTAGTAAAGGTTTAGGGCTGAACTCTATGAAGTCTAATACAAAAATTTGCAATAATTTAATAGATAGCAAAATAATCAAATTATATTGTATATATTTTCAATTTCGAGTTCAGCCAATTGTATTTATTATATTATTATTTTTACCAAATTTTAAAATTTTTAAATTAATTCCGTTGCTAAGCCATACGCTTAATACTATAAGATAAAAATTCCGTTGCCGTAAAGCATACTACAAATAATTTCACTTGATTCAACAAAATAATTCCATTTATATTGTCTGCTTTTGGGAGCGAGTACAAAAATTCCAGTGCTCGTCAAACCTTAAGCAAGTAGAAGCCAATTACGAATGGGTTTTTGTCAGTTTTTCAACAGAATTTAATAATTTTGAAATGGTTGAAACAATACGTGCAAAAGATGATATTTCTAGAGAAAAAGCATATAAATAAATATGAATTTCGTATCGCTGACAATTCAAGTAGAAGCAGAGTAATTTTTTGGAAGCAGCGTTAAAATTAAATGATACTTTGTAATATAATAACTAAAAACTAATTAGCTACAAAATGCAAACAATTTGAGCCTTGAGCACTTTACTGAACCAACAGCTTTTCTATAGGAACCGGTGCGAAGAACTCGTTGATGTGCGCGACCAAAATGGGCGCCCATTGCTCACGGGTGGCGGGAATACCGACGCGCGTAATCTCGGGCAGATTCTCATTGACCAAATTGAGGATCATAGCATCTGCAAGGCAAGCAAATTTATTAGAGACTCACAGATAAAGGCTATAGCAGCGACTTACTCAGATTGCGGTCCGAGAAGATGCCGTTGGCCAAGACCCGAGCATTGCCAACATTCACATTCGCATTCAGGCGATGCAAACTCAAACGCTGTTGGCCACTGGGCAGCTGCTCAATGTGTCCATCGGTTAGAATCGTAGCCTTCACGTCATCTGTGAGTTAAGATATTTATATTTAATTTAAAAAAAAAAACTCTGATTAGTCTGTCGTAGTGCTACTCACCAATGGTAATGTTGAATGGTCCCTTGGGCACCAGACGCAGGCCGCCAAACTTGACATCCGCCTTAAAGTAACCGCCGGCCTTCAGCTGTGGCAGCTCCACGCCCAATTTGATGACAAAGCCGCTTTCCGTGAAATTGGATGATACGGTGTTCACCTTCAGCCCACTGATGCCATAAATTTCCATGTTCTTTATGAGCAGGCCGCCCTGTATGCCGTCGTTCGAGTACCGAAAGATGCCGCGCTTATAGAAGTACGGATCAATTGAGCCCATGCTATATTCCGACAGACCCTGATACTTCAATTGAGGCACGATCGAGTCAAATAGCCCGCGTATGCAAACATTCAGCTCAGCTGAGCTCAGGCTGCACGTGGCGATGCCGCCAAATGGCGTCTGTGATGCTGTAAGAGTGGTGAAAGTGGCAAATGTTTAGTACACAGCAATTACAAAGTCGGCCAAAAGGCCAAAAGGCCAAACAGCCAAAAGTCAGTTGATTAAGACATAGACGTGGATAAGTTCAGCCAGGCATGCATCATTGCGCATAGCACCTGTCGAGGCATTTAACCAAGCGTGGCACATAGTTCACAGTTTGACATGCTCCGCACAGGTTTCTCTTCAATTTTGACATTCAAATTGCGTCTGTTAATGTTGTTGTTGTTGTTGTTGTTGTTGCAGTTGCTTTCGCTTTAGCTGTTGCTGTTGGCTTTGCGTGCCTCGTGTCAGGGTGACAAGTGACAATGACGCTTCGCTGTCTCAAGGTCTTTATAATTGGGCCCCACACGACGCAGGCAAAGCCAATTGAAGTTAATAATCTTTGGACAGACATAAACGAGTAGTGGATCAAACTAAAAATAGCCAGACACTAGGTATACTTCAGGAAATTGTTACTCTCACTCTATTTCGTTCCCTAACCGAACTCAAGAGCTGATGTCGGAAAACTTAAAGCTTTCATAAATTAACACTTGAATTGCTAGCGGAGAATCTTAGAATGAGTTATAGAAAATTTAAAAAGGTTAACTAACTGAAGTGAAGAAAATGCAATAGGCTCTAAACTGATAAACTGATAAACTAAAAGTGTACTAAAAATTAAAATATCTATTTGTTGGTTAAGATTGAACATCCATTTGATTTAAATAGGGATGTAATGTAATAGATGAGCTAAAAGCTGTGCTAAAACTTTAACTTGTATAAAGACAGTTCATTAGATTTTTTATTTGCAATTGAGATTCAATTCAACTAAGAATTGATCTTATAATATGTGTGCTAAAAATTTGTACTAAAAGTGTACTTGTGCACTTCCCTTATAGTATACTAATTTTACCCTATTTGTTTTTTGGGATTTTCAATGTAACTGAGGAGCATATGTAAGTCATGTTTTAAAAGCTTGCACTAAATTGTACCAAAATTATACATTTTAATAAAAATACAAAGTAAGCTATATCATATTTGAAATTCTAATGCTGCTAAAAAGCCAAAAAGCTCTATAAAATATATAGCAAAAAATATTTAAGCCTTCAAATTAAAATTTTGTTTGTTAAATGAAACGGTTAAGTGTATATATGTATATACATACCATATCATAAATTTTTATAGGGTCTCTCAAGCGTAAACCATTTTAAAGATTTGTCATCTTACATAGTCAAAATGTCTAATTAAATGACATTCAAGCCATTATAGCTTCTAAGCGGAAATGATATTGCAATTATTGTTGTGCACTTAAAGTAACAAAATACCCAAAAGTATTTAAAAAGTCTCTAATTACGCTCAACTTCGACTTGACTTTGTTTAACTTCCATTTTAGTTTGTTATTTTTAGTTAACAACTGTGATGAATGTGTGATTATGCCTGCGATTCGCCTAGGCGATTTGAATGTCTGTAATTATTCTGCCAAATTTGGAGGGCT